TATGCATCCCTATGGGTCCCTATGGGGTCCCATGGGTCTCTATGGGGTCCTATATTGTCTGTATGCATCCTTATGGGTCCCTATGGGGTTCTATAGGGTCTCTATGGGGTGTCTATGGGCCCCTATGGGTGTTTATGGGTTCCTATGGGTCTCTATGGGGTTCTATATTGTCTGTATGCATCCCTATGGGTCCCTATGGGGTTCTATAGGGGCTCTATGGGGTCTCTACGGACCCCTATGGGTGTTTATGGGTCCCTCTGTTGTTTCTATGGATTCCTATGGATCCCTATTGGTCTCTATGGGTCTCTGTGAGTCCTTATGGGTCCTTATGGGGTGCCTATGGGTCTCTATGGGTCCCTCTGTTGTTTCTATGGATTCCTATTGTTCTCTATGGGGCACTCCTAGGCCCTATGGGGTCTCGATGGGTCTCTATGGGGTTTCTATGGGTCCCAATTGCCTCTGTGGGTCCCTGCGGGTCCCCTTGGTCGCTGACGGCGCTGTCTGTGGGTCGCCGTAGGTCTGGCGGAGGCCCGCGCCTCACAAAACGCCGAGAGACGCGAATGGCAGCGGCGGAACCACCTGAAATTGGCGGCCAAGGGTGAGCCGGAAGTGACGTGTTTAAAACCCCGCCCCTTCCCCGTCCCACATCCGGCCGTACTTCCGGCGCAGCTCATACGTCACTTCCTGCCGCAGGGCCGCTCCGGCAGACGTTCGCGCAGAACCCGTTGGCTCCTCCCGCTGCTCCCGCGGCGCCCGCGGCCCCGAAGCGACCATGGAAGGAAACGTTGGGCTGAGAACGACGAGAATAATAATAATAAAAAAATCGCATCTCGAGATCCGTATTTTTTTTTCGTTAATTCGGGGATTACGCCCTGCCGGCGGCAAAATGGCGGCCTCCCGGCAGCCACTTCCGGTTGGGTGGTGGCAAAATGGCGGCGTCCTGACAGGCACTTCCGGTTGCGGGCATGTCAGAATTCTAGCGTCGTAGCTCAACTTCCGGTGTTTCCACCGCGTCTTCCGGTTACTCAGTTCGGCGAAACTGGGAACGCGTGGAGATGGCGGCCTCCACTTTTGCGGTTAAGTTGGCGACACGGAGGCGGCGACCCGGATGACTCCTTGTTGCGGCCGCCATCTTGAAGTGACATCACTTCCGCCATAAATCGGAAATGCTTCATTCTGATTGGTTAGTGCTCTCGCATTAACGGAACGGAGGCGGCTCGAGTAGTGCGCATGCGCCTCCCCGCCCATAGTATCATCCCATTGGCTGCCGTGAGCGGAAGGGGCGTGGCTCCGCGGAAAGCGCGCGGAAACGGCGGTTTTGGGGCGATTTTGGGAGGAAAAAAGAAAGGGAAAAAATTTGGGGGTAAAAAGCGTCGATTTGGGACCGGAAGTGGCGCCATGGAACCGGAAGTGGCGCTGACGTGTGAGTCGTTGGTGTTGGCGCCGTTAATTGGGGGAAATTCGGCTCGGTTAATTAGGTTTCGGTGTTAAAGCGGGGTTAATTAAGGGTTAATTGGGGCGAATCGCCGCTTCAGAGCTGAATGGCGTTAATTATGGCGTTAATTAGCGGTTAATTAACTCGCCGCACCCACGAAGAGGTTGATCAGCGCTGCGTTAATGCTGGGGTCGCCTTTGCTGGGTCATTAATTAGGGGTTAATGGCGTTGATTAGGGGGACTCTAAATTATGGGGCTGATTAGGGGCGTCTGCTAATTATGAGTTAATTGGGGAGTTAATTAAGCCCTAATTTGGGAGACCCCTAAAAATGGGGCTGATTGTGTGGGGGGTAATTAACAGCGGCCTCTCCCTACAGCTCCACATTGGCCCCGCCCCCTTTTGGACAAGCTCCGCCTCCACCCTGGCCTCAGCCAATTGGCTGCGGCGCTGGAGGAGAAAGGACCAATCGCAGCGCAGAGGCGGGACTTGCGGCAGGCGGAGGCGGGGCTTGCGCGGAGCCGCGCCGCCTGGTTGGCTCAAAAGGCGCTGTGGGCGGGGCTACAGGAGCTGCTGCGGAAGCCCCGCCCCCCCGGGACCAACCAGGTGAATTTGGGGGGGGTTTAACCCCAAATTTTTGGGCTGAATTCGGCCGTTTTTGGGGCTTCTTTTCCTTTTTCCCATTTTTTGGGGCAGAATTGCCCATTTTTGACGTTTTCTCCCCTGGTTTCGGTGAGGTTTTGCAGTTTCTCCCCTAATTAACATTAATTTTTATTCCATTTACGGCAGAATTTCCCATTTCTGGGCATTTTTTCCCCAAATTTTGGCTCGGAATTTCCCATTTCTGCCATTATTCCCACTTTTTTTGCTGAGACTTCACCACTTTTCTCGAAATCAGCCTTTTTTTGCACTCTGCCCTCCTGCTTACAGCAGTTTTTCCCATTTCTGGTCTTTTTTCTCCCAAAATTTGGGGCAGAATCCCCCATTTTGGCCATTATTTCCCCTGATTTCACCAATTCTGTGCCTTTTTTCCTTTGTTTTTGGCAGGTTTTGCCATTTCTCCACAAATTACCCATTTATTCCTTACGATTCCCTTCACTTTCCAGCAATTTTTCCCACTTCTGGCCTTTTTATCCCCAAAATTTTTTCCCCCCCTTCTTTGGGGTCCTTTTACACCCTTTCCTCCCCCTCAGCCTCTGGCTGCTGTGGAAGAAGCGCTCTCATTGGCTGAGCTGCGCCGCGCTATGCCGGGATTGGCTGAGCTGATGCCCCACTCCCCGGTAAGCCCCGCCTCCTCCGGTTTAGCCCGCCCCCACCCTGCATTTACATAAGCCCCGCCCACTTCCATAAGCCCCGCCTCCTTCCCAGCCCCCTCTTCCTTCTGACCCACCACCTTCCATAAGCTCCGCCCCTTACTTAAGCCCCGCCCCTTTCCCCTCTCCTCCCATTTCCTGCCTTAACGTAAGCCCCGCCCATTTCTTAAGCTCCGCCCCTTCCCTTAGCCCTGGCTCCTCACCAGTCCCTCTTCTTTTTGCCCCGCCCACTTCCCTAAGCCCCGCCTCCTCCATCAGCCCCACCTCTCTTAGTCCCGCCCACCTTCCAAAGCCCCGCCCCTTTTTGCCCCCTCCTCATCCACCAGCTCCACCTCTCTTAGCTCCGCCCACTTCCGCTAAGCCCCGCCTCTTAGGCCCCCCGACTTCTTTTTGCTCCACCCACTGCCCCTGAGCCCCGCCCCTAAAGCCCCACCCCCTTCCCAAAGCCCCGCCCCCTTCCTACGCTTCGCCTCTTCCATCAGCCCAACCTCTCAGCCCCGCCCAGTTCCCAAGCCCCTCCTCCTACCATAAGCCACGCCCCCTCCCCCTACGCCCCACCCACCTCCCCTAAGCCCCGCCCCTCCCCCATAAAGCCCCGCCCCCTCCCCCTAAGCCCTGCTTCCTCCCTCAAGCCCCGCCCACCTCCCTCAAGCCCCGCCCCTCCCCTAATCCCCACCCACCTCCCCTAAAGCTCCGCCCACCTCCCCTAAGCCCCGCCTCCTCCCCCAGCCCGCACCGGCGCTGCGGCGGCCATTGCTGGCCCTGCTGGAGGCCCAGCTGGGGCTGAAGGCGGCGGAGCTGCGGCACTACGGCTATGGGGCCGGCTGTGGGGCCGGCTGTGGGGCCGGCTGTGGGGTGAATGGGGAGGAGGCCGGGGAGCCGCTGTGGGAGGAGCAGCGCAGGACGAAGAGGCTGAGGGAGAGGAGGTGGGAGCTGACGGTGCTGCTGGACAGGAACTGCAGGGGCTGCGCCAAGGTGGGGGCGTGGGGGGTTT